TAGGACTTCGAGAGATTATATAGTGTGAAAGGTTGTTTCAGAAGCCTGGTGTGGTTACACGTTCTGTAGTGTGAGCTACTTGAGAGGCTGAAGTCAGATGATTGCTTGAGCTGAGGACTTGGAGACCAGCCTGAGCAGCATAGTGAGACCTGGCCTCAAACAAAGGGAAAGGTGGTATCAGCAGTTCCTCAGCCAACTGGAGATTTGGGACGAGGTTCTGTTTAACTCTCATAAGGCTAACTTCTTCTCTTGTGTTTCAATACCTCTGTCATTAATGTTCCAAAATTAGCACATATTTTTGTATCCTAAATTCAGTTATTTGTGATGAAGTTGGCTAGGTTTTAATGAACAGAATAGTTTCCTCACCTTACAGCCTTTTAACTCTATACTGACTCCATTTGTGAGATCCTTGGTATTTCATTCTAGTTTCCGTTCTTGGACCGAGTCTTCCTTTCTTTGTTACCTGTTCTTCCAGATGTCTTTCACATAACCTCTTTAGCCAGTTAGACACAAAGTGCATTCCAAAGAGTGTTGTCCTTACTCACCTGATGTGAACGGCACTGACTGGCCAGTCCTCACACTTAGAACTTACTTTCCAACATGTCTCACAGGATTGATACATACAGACTGTGCTCTTCTTTGATGCTGTGTCCGTGAAGTTAATTCAAGTCACACTTCAGAAGAATGATTATGCAGTTCTTACCCCACAGTCATAAGCACATTTTCCTTCCTTCCTTCCTTCCTTCTCTCCCTCCCTCCCTTCCCTCTTTCCCGCCTCTCTTTCCCTCTTCTCCCTTCCTTTTCTTCCCCCTTCTTTCTCTTTCTCCCTCCCTCTCTCTCTCTCGTTCCCTCTTCCCTCCTTCCTTCTCTCTTTTCTTCTTATGGTGTATAGTTAAATTTTTTTCTTAGGCAGTTAGCCAAAATCCAGTGCAATGGAAGTTCTGGAGGAGGTGGGTTTACGTTAATGCCGTTGTATCAATAGGATATGGTAGCATTGTTGAGTATATTTATACATGCAGAATACTTTCTGCCTCTACATCTCCCTGATGTTTTCCTGGCACACAGAGACACTGTCCAGAAAGAAAATAGCCATCATTTCTTTTTCCATGTGGAAAGAAGAAAAATTTTGTTTTCAGAGAATAAAAATAAGGATTAGTGTCAGGCATGATGGCATAAACATGCCTATAATCCCAGCACTCAGGAGCCTGAGGCAGAAGGATTGTGAGTTTGAGGCCAGCTTAGGCTATATAGTGAGACTGAACAGAAAAGGAGGATTGGTTCTGGTAGAAGCTATAAATGAATGGAAAATGACCACCCAAAGAGAATTTGCACTGTTAGTAGAGAAGTTAACAATTTTAAGCAATTGTTATTTTATTGTTGTTATTATATGGGAATAAGTAGAGTTAAAGTTAGGCCAATTTCAGAAGACTTCTTTCACATGTATTACCCTTTCATTGTTTTGATAGTTTAGAAACTTTTTTTCCTTTATAAGCTCATTCTTATCTTCTGATATGTATGTCCTGTCTAGAAAATTCTCCTAACTGTCCCTGTCTAGCTCATTTTCTTCAGTGTCAGCTTGGACATACCTCTGAGGGGGCTTTCTTTGATGCCCTAAATGAGACAGCAACTCCCTTTTCCAGTCTCTCTCTAATACTCAATTTAATTTTTTCAGAGCATTTATCTTCATCTGAAATTCCTTGTTTTTTTAATCTTTTGTACTAGAATATAAACTCTGTGAGAGGAGAGCTCTTGCCTTTCTTATTATCTCTTGATCTCTCATACTTAAAACCCAGTCTTTCATAGCAGGCCCTAAGTGTACAGGTGGTAGTTGAAGATGAGTAAGTGAAAGCATGTCTGCGGTGTGATTTGTTGAGACAGCTGATAATTCACATGTATTGTGAATTGTGAATTGTCAAAAAGGAACACAGTAGAGTAACTTTACCCAAGTCTGCTGTTCCTTCAAGCAGGTAACTGTTTGAGACTTCCACGTAGGCATTTAGAAATGGAGGGTCTTGATACATTTCCTTTTTATTTTCTTTTGTAATAATTTTAAACTTATAAACATGTTGCAAGAATAAAATTTTCCTGCATCATTTAAGAGTAATTTATTGACCCTGTGCCCCATTATCTGTGAGTACTGTAGAGTGTATTTTCTAAAAGACATTATCACACATAAACAGGATAATGTAATAAAAGTCAGGAATTCAACATTGATAGGTTACTACTATTGTAATGCACAACCATATAGAAGCTATGCCAGTTGTTCTGGCATTCAGTGGTGGAAATTCCCAGAAAGCAGGGAGCCTCAACTTCTTTGTATATATTCCACCAATTCCTTGCTGACCCTTAAGTTCACATGTAACAGAGAAAGCTAGAGGAGACAAGTGGAAACACCATCTGCAATGGAGTTTGAGTCCTACGAAGGTAGAGATTACAGGGCTTTATTGTAGTGTAGAAAGATCTGCCTCAGGAGTAAAGACTGTGTTCAAAGCCTTAGGAATTTTTCCCAGGAATAAAGGCAAAACTGTAATACACCATCATCAATGAAGTGTGAAACTAAGCATCCGGAATATGACAGTATCAACGAGTATTTTAACTGCATATTAGAAGAGAAATCAATAGTCTCAAAGAAAGATAAAATCCAGAGTGTCTTTACTGTCTTTAGTCTATCATCCATATTGGCCAGTGTTATAATAAAAAATCATTACATGGCCAGATGTGATGGCTTACATCTATAATCCCAGCTACTCAGGAGGTGGAGTTAGGAGATCACAGTTTGATGCCCAGCCTTGGCATAAAGTTAATGAGACCTCCATTTCAACAAGGAAACCAGATGTGATAGTGTACATCTGTAATCTCAGCTACATGGGAGGCATAGGTAGGAGGATCATGATTTGAGACCCTTCTGGGCAAAAAGTGCAAAACCCTAATTGATATATAACTAAAGCAAAAGGGGCTAGAGAGTGGGGCTCAAGTGATAAGGTACTATCAAAAAAAAATACATATATGAAGAAATAGAAAAAGATTATCCATTGTTGAGAGGAAAAAAAGTCCAGATGTTAGATTCATCAGACAATAAGTTAAAATCAGCTATTGTAAATATGGTTAGGAAACTCAAAGAGAAAGGTGATACCATGAATAAAAATAGAGTTTTTTGTGAAAAAATAGAACCTGTTTTATAAAAGAACAAAACTTCAAGGCATGCTGACAACATACCTATAATCCCAGCTACTCAGAGGTAGAGGCAGAAGGATTACAAGTCTGAAGGTCTCACATGGACTCACAAAATTAGTAAGACTTTTATGGGAATCTTGAACAGAGACACTGGACACCAAGGCTTTTCAGGAAGCAATATTTATTAGAATGCCAGCAGCAGCTCAGCAGATTCACATCTAAAGGCTGAATCAGAGAACAAAGGGGTCTCACCTTATATACCCTTGCAAGCAGGTTGCAGAAGCAAAAAGCAAGGTTTTAATCCATATATGGTTGCATGTGACTCTTGGCTATTTCACCCCCAGTGCTATGTGACTTTCCTCACATTTAGATTTTTTAAGTTTTATCTCTCTGCTGTATCATCCCTTGCCCCCTGCTATATTACCAGTACACAGACTTGCTTGTTTCTTTTTTTGGCCCTCCTCCCTGCTACAAGACCTTATCTCGAAAACAATAAAAACAGCAGGTTAGGGGCATAGCTCAAGTGCAGAGCTTTTCCTGGCATATGCAAAACCCCTGGTTCAATTCCCAGTACCGCAAAAAAGCAAAGCAAAAATGACAACAATATAAAACCAAGCACTTGGAAGGCCAAGGCAGGAGGATCTTGAGTTTGGGGCCAGCCTGGGCTAGAGGGCAATACCTTGTCTTGAAAAGCCAAGAACCTGTCAAGCAAAAAACCAATAGCAGCAGCTGCCAAAATCATAGAACTGAAATACAATGTTTAAAGTGGAAAGTGCATACATTTAACAGCAGGTGAAAGTAACAGAAGGGGCAGTGACCTGGATGAAAAGTGAGTAGGAAAAAGATTTCAGAAAAGCTTAGGTCATTGAGCATGGCTTATGGGATAACAAGTGATGGACCTTCTGTATTGTAATCCCAGAGGAGAAGAAAGAACATGGGATAGAGAAGGCTTTGTAACAAATAAGGGCTGAAAGGTTCTCAAGTTTGGCAAAAAACTGATAGAACCAAGTAGCCCAGTGAATGCAAGTAGAATAAATACAAATAGACCAAATCTAGACCTGTAATCATACTACTGAATGCCAAAGTAGAGAAAAATTGGAAGACATTAAGAAACACTAAACATAGGGTTACAATAATATTAATGACAGCTGGCTTACCCATATAATGAAAGCCAAAAGCCTATACAGAATGACATCTTTTAAGAGTAGTTTTTAAAAATCTAAAACAATTTTGATATTTCATGTTATAGAGAAAACAAATGGGAAATTCAGCCAATTTTGAATGCTTACATTGACTTCCCAAGAATCATAAATAGATAAGGATTTGTGAATTTAGATGAAAATTGTAAGCCAATTTATAAATACACCTTATATTTGTCTAAACTAAACTTGCTAGGTGGCCAGAGAAATGTTTGCATTTGAAGATAACTGTTTTGATATCTTACACAGGCTGTTCCAGTGTTGGACTTAGTGACTTTTAGAGTTATTTTTATAAAGGTGGAGTATACTTTCATGATTTTTCATCCAGTTAATATCCACATGCTTCTAGCAAAATAAGACTACGAGGACAATCAAATGAAGTCTTAGTCTCAGTTCTTGTAAGTTACCTGGTTCTTGGGTATGACATGGGAGTTAGCAAGTGTATGAAGGTCTATCTGTGCCTCCATCTAAATAAGAGAATTACTTCTTCAGTAAATTAGATGAGTTAAAACTGTTGAGTGAGGGTTAGATTAGGAACACACAAAAGGAAAGAAAAATCTGACATATTTGAAACTGATTTACTCTCCGGTTTGCCTCCGTTTTCTTCTTTTTGTCTCTCTCCTGCAGTAAACATTCCCAACTTCAGGATATATGCTAAGGAATGAAAGGCAAGGAAGAGAGGACATTCATCTTGGAAAGACCTAAGGCACTTTGACATTGCAAAGGAACGAAGGCTAGCTGATAACCCTGCCTGTCACCAACATGGATGAAGTACTTCAAATTTAAGCGGTAACTAGAATTTCCCTGTCATGTTGTCTTTACCAAACACTTTACAAGAGTTGAAAAGATTTTTTTTAAATTTAAATGTTTACCTTACATGTGATAATTTCATAAATTAGCACTGTCAGTTTTATTTTGATCCTTAATGTTTGTTTAAAAGAATTGTTGATTTCCCAACAATTCTTACCCCAGCTTCTTAAGCTTACTTGAGAAGGAATATGGTATATACCGGTACCTTTATAAGACCAGTATATACCATAGGAAAAAAAAAACAAGCAAGATAAGTAGTAAGTAGTTCTTTTTGCATACACAAAGGCTTTTTTCAGTCTTGTTTTCTGAGTTTTATTTCTTTTTTTTGTTTGTTTGTTTTTTTCATTTTTCTTTATTGACATCTGGTCTCTTCTCCTTCCATATCTGATATCTTATTATTATTTCATCTTTATTTTCTCCTTTGCCTTTCTCTACCTTTAAAAAGCTCATCTTACAGGAATTGAGAGTTACAAAAGGTATAAGGATCCAAAACAGGAAAAGGTAAATTTGAAAAGATGTGAAATTTTTCTTCTTGTGAAATTGAAAAGATGGTAGATTTCAAGTGTAGTAGAAAGTAATTAAGACTCAAGATCTTAAACCTTCTTAAATCTTCTTGATCTTAGACCAAAATTGTTTTCACGCATTTTTTATATAGAGTCAAATATTTACAATTTTTATGATATTTTAGTGAATAACTATAACTTTTATTCACCCAATCTCATCAATTTGATATTGAGGGATAATTTTGCTTGAGTCCTTACATACTAGAAGGAAGTAGGTATTACAGACTAAATTAGTCCCTTGTGAAGTGCAGGAAATGTAGATGTCAATCAAATTATATTATGGTATAGCAGTCCTAATGATTCTTAGTTTATAAAATCATTCACATTCATAAGTGAAATTCAGGATAAATCATCAAAGAATGAATGTTCTAATTACTCATCCCTACACAAACACTAGCCTTGATGAAAAACATCTTAAAAAAAAATCTTAACAGTCATTTTTAAAATAATTTTTTGTTTTGCTAATTTCTCCTTTTTAAAGTAACAAGTGAAAAATCTATAAGATTTTGAATAGTATATTGTTTAGGAGACAGTTGTGAAACATGGGCATTTTCTTTACTTAAATACTCTTTTCTCCATTGTGTAGGAAATTTGAAGAAGGGAAGTATATTATTCCACCGTATGTTGCTATAACTAGATATCTGAAGCTGGGTACTTTGCAGAGAACAGAGTTGCTTAGCTTACAGTTTCTGAAGTTCAAGATCATGGTATTGACATCTATTCATCATGGCGGGGACCCTAATCAAGTGTGATTTAAAAAAAATTGTTCAGTTGAAGATTAAACCTCTACTTAAAATTAATGAGAGCTTTTCTGTAATCTGTTGGTAGTCATGTAGGTATATTCCGCCATTTTTAAATGTCCAGTCAATTCTTTTAGGTCTTCAACCATTAAAGAAAAATTTAAGTTCAAGAAAGCTACTTCTAAAGTAGAGCAGAAATTAAGGTGCTGAATGTTTGCTTATTCAGGTATATTAATACATAGAAAGCCACCATATTTCCCCCATCTTGTCCATTAATGCTGTAAAGTTTACCTGTAATTATATATCTGCTTCCATAATTCTTACATAATCAGTTTCATCACAGAACTAAAAACAATACTGTCAACTGTATTACTGTGATTCATTTATTATACTTTATAAATGCTAATCCCATTTAAATCTTCCTCTCAGTGAGTTTTGGTTACTGTGCATGGGATTGCTGAAATCCACAGGTTGTCACTGGTGTTTTGTCATCATTCATTTCCATTTTTTAAATTACTGAATTTGTTTTCAACATTAAAGTATTAACAAGAACAGGCTAGACCTTCACCACTCCACAAAATAAAACAAAGATTACATTACTTCTCCCTCTTAGTCCAATTCAAAAGTCATGTAACACAACCATGAGGTATACAGAATTAAAGAAGACCTCTGCATTTACTCCTTTGGGCATCAGTAGGGTTTGAACTTAGGACCTTGTGCTTGTTAGGTATGTACTATACCACCTGAGCCATGCTCCAGCCCTTTTTTGGTTTAGTTATTTTTCAGATAGGGTCTCATGTTTTGGCCCAATGTGGTCTTTGACTGAGGTCCTCCTACCTATGGCTCCTGCATAGTTTGAACCACAGGCATGTCCCACCACACCTGGCTTATTTGTTGAGTGGGATCTTGCTCACTTTTTTGCCTGGGTGGCTTTAAACCACAATCCTCCTTATCTCACCTTCTGTGTTGCTAGGATTACAGGTATGAGGCACCATGCCCGATTGGGAAACTCATTTTTAAAGAAGTAAAATAAATCCACAATGCCTTCTTGCAAACATGAGGCCCTGAGTTCAAAAAAGAGAGAGAAAGAAAACATACTATGTTTTGACCAGACCTGTGCCGAGGACCTTCAACATCTAAAATCTGTGAATTTGAAAAGGGACCTTTGAATAAGATGTTACTTGTACAATTTCATGACTGTTCTAACTTTCATAGTTTAGGTTTTCAACTGCACAAACTGTCATGGTCACTTTGAAGAAGCTAGAACTTAAAGGATGACATTCTAGCTATGCAGTGCTAGAATGAAGTTAGGTCAAACACCCAGTTTTAAGTTCATTTGTTAGCTGTGTTGCTAGGATTACAGGTATGAGGCACCATGCTCAATTGGGAAGCTCATTTTTAAAGAAGTTAAGTAAAATAAATATACAATGCCTGCTTGGCAAACATGAGGCCCTGAGTTCAAAAAAGAGAGAGAGAGAAATTTTCCCACATCGAGTAGCTAATTAGAGATACAGGCTCAGAAAAGATCTTAGAAGGCCTGACATTTATGCTGTAGATTAGTATGTGGCACAGACAGAGCCTAGACTACAACAGGTAAATCAAAACAAAAATCCCCCAACAAACCCTAAGGAAGGGGTAGAATCTGATTTCCAGAGATACTTACTAATCACCTTTCTGTCACTATAACAAAATACCAGACACAGATGACTTGTAAGCTAAAGAGAGGTTTATTTTAGCTCATAGTTCTCCACGTTATTTTGGGGCCTCATAGAGGGAGCACATGTCACAATGAGGGTTACATACGAGCCAGGAAGCAGAGAGAAAAGGAGAGGGAGCCTTAGGGAAGACAGGGGTAAGCATAAGAGCTTCCTACTAGGCCCTGTATCTTCATGGACCATCGAGGAGCGCTCATTCAAATCATAGCGTTCTGTCCCTGGCCCTCAAGGTTAATGTCCATCACACGAAATGCATTCATTTCATCCCCCAGAGTGAACTGTTTGAGCATTGCTAAAAAGTCCCGAATCCGAACTTTCCTGCAAGACTCAAAACAAACTCAGCTATGAGCCCCTGTAAAAATCAGAAAATAAAGTTGCATACTCCCAAGATACAAAGGTAAGACTGGCACAGAGTAAATAAACATTCTTATTTTAAAAGGAGGAAATAGGGGAACAGGAAGGATTGGTCCAAAGCAAGACAAAAACCCATGAGGGTGGGCGTGAAATCTTACTGCTCCATATCTGACCTCCATGTTCTGTTATTGCGGCATGTGGGCTTCCAAGGGCTTGGATAGCCCCATCCCTATGCTGTGCTGATGGCAGCCTCTTCCTGTGGGCCAGCTCTGCACACTGTTTGAGCTTTCCCCATTGAGCAATATGTATTGATGGCACCTCTGCCTTCCCTGGTCTCCATTGCATCTTCACTACCACAGCTTTAACATGCTTTGTCCTATGTGGGATTCCTGCAGGAACTCCAACCCTACAGCATAATTCTGGTTGGCCTTCCAGGATTTCCATTGAAGTTGCTGTGACTGAATAATTGTAGCTCCAGTTTTTAATAACAACAAAAGCACAAGGCATAACAATGAAATAGCAAAGTATGGCCCAATAAATTAACAGACTTTCCCTAAAAAGTACTAAGGGTAGGTCTATTAAACAGAGACTTTAGAACAACAATCTTGAAGTTGCCAAAGGTAGAGGCTTAAAGAAACCAAAGGAAGATGTGGAGAAAGTTGATAAAATTATGTTTGACTAAAATGAAAATACCAGGAAAGATACAGAAAACCTAAAAAAGAACAACCAAAACAAAGAACTTGTGATACTGAAAAGTATAATAACTCAAATGAAAGTTTCACAAGAGGAATTCAAAGTTAGATTGAAATGATCAGGTCTGAGGAACGGAAGGAAAAAAATGTTGACGAAAATTGAAGAGAGCCCAAGGACCTGTGGAACACCATGAAACAGACATACCTACACATTGTGGGAGTCTTAGAAGGACAAAAGAGAGGGAAAGGTAAAAACAGAATATTGGAAAAAACAGTGTCCAAAAACTTCCCAAATTTGATGAAAGGCATACATGTTATTACCCAAGAGGCTCAACGAAAACTGCAAATAAGATAAACTCAAAGAAACTACTGCCAAGACAACAAAACTCAAAAGCTAAGAACAAAGGGTATTTTGACTGCAACAAGAAAGAGGTGATTCCTCACATGCAAGGTATCCTCAAAAAGAAAACAGATTTAGCTTTCAAACCTTTGGAGGCCAGAAGGCAGTGGACCAGTGTATTCAGTGTGTCACAGGAAAGAAGGCTGTGAAACAAGAATGCTATAGCTAGAAGAACTTTCCTTCAACAGTGAGGGAGACAATTAAGACATTGCCAGATGAACAAAAGCAGAAGGAGCTCACTGCCACTAAACTGCAAGAAATGCTTCATGGAGTGAATCAGGTGAAATGAGAGGAAATGAAAGGAGTCCTCAGCTGCAAGCAAAAAACATAAATATCTCAACAAAAGTAAATACAGTGTTCTGTAACTCTGTTTAATATTTCTTTTCCTGATGTAAGAGAATACTACATTTTAAAAAATTACTTATCTAAATGGTAACACTGGAACTGGTGTGTAACTCCACATTTTAGACATATTGAAACTAATTTACGTAGAAGAATTAGTATGTTTTGTGGCA